ACACTTAAAGTCGACTAAAGAAACAGAACTCTCCCTCCCATTTCACAACCTCTTTGCAACGTGTTTACCGAAACGGGCAATTTCGAAGTGTGAAAAATGCAGCAGGAGGCTCTCTCTTGCTTGCTTGCTTGCTTGCTTGCTGGGCGTTTGGGTTCGGGGCCACATGAACCTTCTTCTGCACAGCCAAAGGAGAGCAAGAGCGCTCTCCTCGCGCGCGAACGCGCCCATGAACCTCTTTCTTTCGCCAGGGCTAGGGGTAAGGGAGAACAAGTCCCCCTCACCTGAACCTCTCTCTCTCTCTCTCTCTCGCTCCTTCCTAGCACAGCTGTAGCGGAGCTCTTGCAAGGAGTCCTTAGTCCTTTCAGTCCTTCCGAGTTCTCCAGAACGTGAACATTCCGACTCCACACACAGGACCAACACTTACGACTCTCATTGCTGGGATGTCCACAAAGAATGCGCCTCAACTGTCCCACCTTCGAAGCACCTTTCCAAGATGAAGCGTCTTGTCGATCAACGAAGGTGTCGAATTCCTCTGCGGCACAAAGCTGCAAGTGTGTCCAACGCGGCTGACCCGAAAAGCATGAGCCTGGCGAATCATGCACTGCATGCGAGAAGCTTGAACCTCACCATTGCTGCATTGTCCTGTGCTACAGTCAAAGTACCTTTAAGGACACGATTTTCCCAGCCTTGTATGTTTGAAACCTGTTTACAAGGGATGTTAATCGCTTTGCTCATCAGCAGTATCCCGAGCGTGCTTGGTGAACAGTATGCTAGAAGTCGGCGATCTGAAGACGGGAGCCTGTGCTGCGGCCAATTTCGATGAACCCCTGAACGCGGCTGAAAAGGCGGTCTGGCCACCAATTGAAGCATCATAGCGACCCGTGTGATGAGAATAGGCAATGGCAGTCTGGCGGAATTGAGCCCTCTAGGTACGGCCACAGAGCGTCAACAAACCCTGCGAGTCCTCGTATCTCAGGTAGGTGCGATTCGTGAAGACCTGAGAAAACACACCGGCAATTACTCGCTACTTGTACCGCATCTTGCCTGCTACACGAGCTCCTTGCACTTTTGAATTGACGTGGCGTTTGTGATCTCACGGGCTTGCCGAGATGCATACAAATCCAAGACCTCTGAGGGTAGACCCTTCAGGACTTCCTCCAGCTCCACGGTTAGTTTCAGCACGAAGGCGAGCCAAACCGACCTCGGAGGACTCAAGCTTACCGGAGGAATCAGTTGGAATTGGAGCTTGAAACCGTGCTGAACACAGCTTGCAAATCTGACGTTTATGCGAATTGGGCTGTTCACATCTGTGGCTGTGGTCTCTGGCGAGTCTGTGGTGCTTTTCTTCGTCATACAATCAATGCGAACAACTCACTTCGATTTTGCATGATAGCTGGATGGGAGAATTATCATGCTCGGCCGAGACACACGCATCCTATTCCAACTGTCACGTTGATCCAGTCCACGACGTTCCAGAACTTCAAGTAATCCTGCCAGCGAGGGAATCTTGCAAAATAGGTCGAAGAGCAAACCATCTTCACTTCCCGAATCTGCAAGAGTCACGGGCACGATATCCGACCGAGGACTCCGACTCGCAAAGGAGCGACAACATGCGAGGAAAAGAGGCATCGGAAAAGACCGGAATTCAATCCAAAAGGGAAAAGTGACACGTGCCTTGACGCCATCTAAGCCATTCATGGCTGCCGGAATGGCTTCCTTCAGCTCCGAATAGAGAATGCTCGTCAGCCTCACGTGCAGCCCGAAGTGTCTATCGACCGGCTGAGAAAGCATCCGAGAGGTCTCCCGAAAGTGTCTTCCCCAGCCAAGTGGAGCATGGAGCAGATTATGCAGGTTGAGCCAAGCGTCAGAGTCAGAAACATGAGGTCGGGCAGCACCAGAGCCAGGTTGTGGTACGGTGCAGCATAAAATGTCTCGCGGATGCCTCGAGCTCTGGGTGAATCAAGTCGTGCAATATGTAAAGAGAGGCACTGTTCCAGAAACCTGGGTAGCACGCATGGACCATCCACACGTGAAGCGAGCTGGGTACGCACCCGAAACATTGGCCGCAAACGCTTCTCGTTTCGCATCATCCGTGAGGCCATCAAAACACATCACGTCGAGCGATGGCTGGTAGGAAGAATTGCACAAGTCGCATCTGCAACCGCAATGGTTTCTTCACCGACCCGCTCGACCCGCTCGGCTCACTTTGACCGTCTCGGCCCGATCGCAGTTCTGGCTGAGCACAGCAATCTGACTTGCATGAACTGTGAATACACTGCTGAGGACTAGAATGACAATAACGGTGAGAAAGGTTTCGACTGCATCTCCTGGCCAAGCGAGCGATGGCAAACCACAGCAGGAAGGGAAACCCGAACAGCGTGTTGCGACATGAGACGAGCAAAAGCCATGTCCAGAAGCGCAAGAGCATGCAGAAATTCCATGTGTGCAATGGTTGTGTCGGAGTAACGGAAGCATTTGTTTTCTTAGCCTCAAGGCACTGGCTTAAAGGATTGCTTCGCGAATAATGCATTCATCTGCTGTGCAGCGCAGGAGCTGACTGACACGCCGAAACGCTATGCTTCAGGTAAAGCACAACCTTCAGGTGGTGATCCCGGGCCAGTGTTTATGTAAAGTAACACGTCGAAAGAATTTCAATCGGTAGACGGTTTTGTGCACAACCGACCTCTTCTTATCCAACAAGCAAGAGTCTTGAATCAAGAGTGTGGGACAAACACAAGTCGGACTCTCCGCGGAGTGGCCTGGTCGCTGGATGAGGTAGCCGGCAGTTGACCACTCCAGCCGCATGATCTGCATCGTGAACGCAACCTGCCCGAAGGGGACCAAGAGCACCGGACGGACGCACGTTGCCACTTTCTTTGTCTCCTGATTGTGGGTATTATACAGCTGCTTAGGTTTGTTCACTCCTGAAGTCAGTGCTCGGAGCGGGCGAAACTGCTCGTCTCGCCAGGTGTGAGAAGCTGAGATAGAACAACGCGAGACTGGTACGATAAGAGGAACTCCAGCGGTATTGAACTGCAAAATCAATGTCTTTCAGGCAACAGTCACGCAGCAAGGTCAAGCCCCGACCCATGTGCGAGCCGAATTACCGCAAGCATCGAAGCAGGGTCCTATCAAACACCCTGCAACCGAAAGACGCCCTGATTGACACGCTTCGTCTTGACCAGAATGTAGACTTAGAAATCCTGCAAAGAAGGAACTGCCTTCTTTTCACGCAGTGGTGGGCCGAGCCCAAGCAATCGATGCACCTGGTGCGCATTGTACGTGAAAATCTCCAAATCCAAGAACCTTGGCCACAGATCTTTCGCAGCTTTCCGAAATGCCGCAATACGCGCTTGGAAAAGCGGTGAAATATATACATATCCGCCGACCCTGGCGGCGCTCAGAAGCTGTGTTCCACCACCTTGTTTGCCCTCCCGAACCCCCTCGGGCCTTCCCGCTGCCAGCGTTCGTCGCCTAGTGCTTCCATCCCTCCGCGACAATGTGTTTTCGTGCGCAAAGTAGTAAGTAGTGGTAACTGGGCAATCTAATTCGAGCTCAATGCAGCCTAATGCATGCCCAACCTCTCTTTGCCCCCCCGGACCCTTTTGGATCCCTTGCCCTCGCCAGCGCCTGCGCTCAATTCACCATGCTCGCATGCCCAGCCCCTCTTTCCCCCCCCGGACGCCCCTGGACCAGTGTCGCCTAGCGTTTTCATGTTCCCTTGCACCTCCCCGACCCATCAGCTAGCGTTTCCATGCCTCCCCCCCTTGACCAAAATCGCCCGCGAGCGTTTGTCGCCTAGCGTTTCCATTCCTCGGCGACTGTGTTTTCATGTGAAAAATCATGCCAATTGAATAATTTCTTTAATTTCAGTCGAACGCATGCCGAACCCCTCTTTGCCCCTCGGACCCCCTCCAGGCCCCCCCTCCTCGCGTGTTTGTTTAGTCGTAACTAAGTCAGTTCTCAACTCGACCCTAATGCATGCCCAGCACCTCCAAAAGTCACACCGCCCACCAAAACCCACACCACCGCCCACCAAAATCCACACCGCCACTACCCTGCCCACCCTGCTGATCCCGACCGTCCGCGGCCCGCCATGCTAGCGCGGATTTTCGCGTGTTTTTTTTCAGTCGCAATTAAGTCATTTAATAAATCATTTAACTCGACCCTAATACCCTCCAAAAGTCACACCGCCCACCAAAGCCCACACCGCCCACCACCCTGCCCAGACTCCGCGGCCTGCCTGCTGGCGCGGGTTTTCGCGTGTTTTGAGTACGCCGCTTACCACCCTGCTGACACCCTCTGCACTTAGTAGTCTAACAAGGTATGCTGCTATATATATATATATATACTTCTGACTTCGGGGTCGGTGGCGGCAGCCATTAAATCGGGCAGCGCTCGGTCCCCGAGCTCATGCGTCCTGTGGGTCCTCGGCTTAGCCGAGCTGTAGCTTGCAAGCTTTGCATTCACAAAAGGGGCGACGCGCAGTGCCGCCGACCCTGTTTCATGGGACCCTCGCTTTTCCACCGGGCTGCGCAGGACCTCGCCCGGAGGCCTTTCGGAACACGCACGCGTTTCGCAGCCAAGCTATGTCGGGTTTCGGGGCCGACGACCCAGGAGGCAAGCCGGCGAGCATCATGAGCACTCGGAGCGCCCGCAACCGGCCCTGCAGCGCGATGTTTTGTGAGTGGGTCGCGGGTGCCCGCAAACAGCGCGCATCATCAGCATCAGCGGGGTTCGGCCGAGGGGGGGTGCGTGGCCTTACTCCAGGAATATATGGACTAAAGGTCAGCATACCAAAGCTGACAAAACGAGTATCGGGAGTCAGCTCCAAGCATCGAAATCGACTCATCGACGCTTCAGGGCTTGAGGTCTTGGCATTGGGGATAGGGGCCTCCGAAATATCTTCGCCAATGTGCAGCGTGTTTGCGTCCATCCAGCCTGCTTCCTGAAACTGCCTCAGCTGCTCCTGGCGACAGACCCCACTGGGGGGGGGGGGG